TGGATTCGTTGAGTCGGAGTGAGATGGGATTTTTCTTGGTTTACTACCAGACCCAAGTCCTGTAAGAGAGACAAGGTGTAATGAATGTCGTTGTACAGTTGCGTTTTTGAAGGAGAACAAAATAACCAGTCATCCAGGTACTGAAAAACCACGATGTTTTGCTGGCGGAGGTGTGCCGCTATGACTGACATGCATTTTGTGAATACCCTGGGTGCGGTGGATAAACCAAACGGGAGAGAAGTGAACGAGAAGTGGTTGTTGTGCACTGCAAAGGTTAGGAATCTGCGATGAGATTCTCTAATTGAGATGTGGAAGTAGGTGTCCCGCAGGTCCACCGTCGCTAGCCACGCTCCCGGTGGAATGAAGGGTAGGATGTTAGGAAGTGTAACCATGCGGAACTTGCGTGGTGTGATGAAGGTGTTAAGCCTGCGAAGGTCCAGGATGGGGCGTAGCCCTCCATCTCTCTTGTCTACTAAGAAATATCGAGAAAAGAAGCAGGTGTTAGCATTGTGTGTGGGGTTAGAAGAAATGGTGCCCTTTTGAAGGAGAGAATGTATTTCTTCCCAGATCTCTTGGGAGGGTTGTGTGAGGAGAACCCTCCCAACGGGTGGATAGGTGTCAAATTCTATTGCATAACCCCTTTCAACTATGTCAAGGACCCAGGCATCTGTAGTGATAGATTGCCATGCCGGAAGAAAAGACTGTAGTCTGTTGAGGTATGTAAGTGATAATGTATGTGTGGAAGTGTGGTTGACAGTGGTTAGTGGTGTGCTAAAAACAACGTTTAGAGTTGTTGGAGGGCCTGGAGCCACGGTACTGACCTCTGAAGGGGAGTTGGGGACGTCTCGGGGTCGTAGACTGGGTGTAAGATCTTTGGCGTCCTCTGTAGAAGGAGGTATTATAAGGCCTGTTGTAGTAGTGAGGACGGTAGTAGTATGAGCCCCATCGTTGACGTTGATGAGAGTAAGGTTGTTGGTCATATTTGAAGACCGTCTGTTTCATTTTATGGGAATGTTCAAGTTGTGAATCAGTTTCAGGGTTGAACAGTCCTGCCTCGTCCATAGGAAGGTTTTCAATGAGAGTGCGTTGTGATTGAGAGAGGATAACAGCCCTCAGCCAGGCATGGCGGCGAAGGGCCACGGAGCCTGCAATGAGTTTGCCAGAAGCATCGGCTGTGTTTCTTGCAAGGTCCTTTTGCAATGATGACAGAAGGAGAGCCTCTTGCTTAAAGGCCAGAGCCAGTGGCTGGTCAGCTGGAGGCAGTAATTCTAAATAGGAAGATATTTTGTTCCATAGGAAGGTTTGGTATACACTCATGTAAACCCCATAATGAGCCATGCGTGCAAATAGGCATGCTGAGGAATAAAACTTTTTGGCCATAGAGTTAAGTTTCCTTCCCTCTTTGTCAGAGGGGGAAGTCTGGTTTGATTGGACAGGTTTTGGTTGAGCATCAGTTACTATAGAATTTGCTTTAGGCATTTTAGATAGCCACGAAGCTGAAGATAGATCAATACGGTATAAATTTTCTGCCCTCTTGGGGGTTGCCAGGATCATAGCCGGGGAAACACCAGTATTTTTTAAGATCTTTAGTAGAAAGGGCAAAGTGGGCAACACAGTGGAAGCAGGTTGTTGTTGTTCAGTAGAAGTAAAGCATGGATCTACCACAGTATCTGTGGGTTCAGGTGTAGAGAGATTCAGGGCTCTGGAGAGCCTTATGAACAAAGCAGAGAACTTTTTGAATTCTTCCAGATTTTTGGGGGAAGGGTCAGGGTCTGGAAGGGGTTCGTGTAT